TCTCAGGGCAAAGTGGGGCTCAGCTTCTGGCCCTGGTGCCTCTCAGTGGGTCTTGGCATCCGCCCCGCTGCAGACCCCAAGGGGCAGCGAGGAGCAGCTGGCGTAGCACACGCTAACCCTACATGCATGCTGTTGGCCACCCCCATGCAAAGCCATCCTAGACGCCCAGCAGTAGCTGCAGCCGCCTTCTGCACAGGTGAGCAATCTGTTAAAAGCTGCCAGTCACAGGCTGCTGACTTTGCTTGGGCACAGCTTGTGGCTGACCCTGCAGATTGATATGCCTGTCCCTGAGCCACAGGGACTCTAAGAACAGCCTCACACTCAGCCTGCACATTCCTGTCATGTCAGTTACCTTTCCTGTTCCCTGGTTCCTTCCTCTCTCAGCCCCATTAGGGTTGCCAGGCAAAATACAGAACTCCTCAGATAACTGATGAAGACATGTTTTAGTATGAGTACATCCCATGAAAACTTTGGGATATACTTATACCTAAAAAAGTATTCATTGCTTATCCGAAATTATTCATAATTGAGCAACCTATTTTGTTTTGCTAGACCTGGCACCCACGCTTGTAATCCTGCCTGATGTGCTGACAGCATCCTTGCTGGGTTCAAAACCTGGTTCCACCACCTGCCAGCTCTGTATCTCTCACCTCTAGGCCTGTTTTCTTTTCTTTCTTTCTTTCTTTCTTTTTTTTTTTTTTGTTTGTTTTTGCAGTTTTTGGCTGGAGCTGGGTTTAAACCCACCACCTCTGGAATATGGGGCTGGTGCCCTACTCCTTTGAGCCACAGGCACCACCCCTGTTTTCCTTTTCTGAGACAGAGTCTATGTTGCCCTCAGGAGAGTGCCATGGCGTCACAGCTCACAGTAACCTCAAACTCTTGGGCTTAGGCAATTCTTTTACCTGGGACTACAGGAACCCGCCACAATGCCTGGGTATTTGTTGTTGTTGTTGTTGTAGTTGTCATTGCTGTTTAGCAGGCTCCAGACGTGTTCAAACTTGCCAGCCCCAGTGTATGTGGCCATCTCCCTAACCACTGAGCTACAGGCGCTAAAGTTTTCTTGTCTGCAAACTGGAGATGGTAAGAACAGCCCCTGCTTGAAGTGACTGTTGTGAGGATGAGACAGTGCGTCAGAAATGATGCAGGATGTGAGGAGGCAGCAGCTGGGTGGGGCAGCTCTACAAAGCCAGAGAGGGACCCTCTCCTCCCAGAACAGGGCATGTTCTGCAGGGTCACATTACCTGTGATGCCCTGGCAGCCAAACCTCAGACTCCCCAACCCCAGCAGGGACCTCACTTCCAGTGATGCAAAAGGCAGCCCTTGCCAGCTTCTGCAAAAGTCCCAGCCTCTGAGTGAGGACACCCAGAGCCACACAGAGGAGGCTTCCTGGGCCTGCTGGAGTCACTCCACTAAAAGGGGTAAAGAGTCCTTGTTAGCATTAGCAGAAATTACTCAGCTAACTACCAGGCAGTGTGCCGAGCTTTCTGGGGACCATTTCCTGCTCTTAATCACAACTTCTGCAAGATGTGTCACTGCCTGATGAGACTGTGTGTTAAACCTGAGTCAAGTGTTCCATAAATCAGTTGACCACTCCAAGCCTGCAAAGTTCCGGTGACAGGTGTGAATGAGCTCAGCATTCAGAGGGCATGCTTTGAACACAAATATCCCTCAGTAGACATCACTTGTGGAGTCCCAGCTGATGCCTGGCCCTTCACTCCCTGAGTCTTCCAGAACTCTGCCAGACGTTTGTAGCAGACACACAGTCACCTCCCAGCAGCCACCACCCCCCGCCCCCAGGAACATGCAGTGTAGGGTCCCCCCCCCACACTTTCTTTCTGTGTGTTTCTGGAAACACAGAGTCACTTGACCACCCTGTGGCCCAGCCAGCTGCATGTTTCCCCTGCATGTCCCCATGTCCCCTTCCATAAATTGGAACTATTAGAGCACCCACCTCCTGGGTTGGATGAGGATTCAGTGAGGCCAAGTGGTCAGAGCCCCAGCTATAGTGACCATATAATGTGAGTAATGAAGTAGTAATTATCAGAGATCATGTCCAGGAGTTGATGAAGCTATTTAGTGACTGAATGATCAATCTGAACCAAATTCCTTCAACCCTCATATAGTAAACAGCATAGCCCAGCCTCTTGCTGTGTCACACCTAGGTGAAACACCTCTTTTCTCAATTACTGGCTGGAGGATGCTGAAACTCTCTGTGCATAAGGGTCCCCTAATAAACGCTCTGGACTTACCACCTGGGCATGTAGTGCTTTTTTTCTTTGGAATCCCAGCCTGGTCTTTAGACTAGGAAAGAGTCATGGAGGGTGTCTCACAACTTCTCCTCTGCTCTGTTGGCTGAGGGCTCCACGGAACCCTCTGGGACCTTCCCTGTACACCAGAACATGGCTTAGTTTATCTGTTGTTTTTTTTTAACATGTGAATATTTTTTATTATTTTAAAAAATAAATGTTAGCATACCAAACAATATTGTTTCACACTTTGCTCTTTTCTTCACTTAAAAGTGTCTTCTATCCACTTCCTCATCCTTTCTGTGTGTGCACACTAAAATACATACTACCTGAAGTTTACCATTTCTACCATTTTTAACTAGAAAAAATTTATTGTGGTAAAATTGTTAAGGTGGTCTTCATGCCATCTGTATATGGTATGGGAATGTTAAAAGAGCAAGTTTGACTCCACTTTACTCTTTTTCTGTTACATTTCATTACCTTTGAAACTGGTTCCTCTTGTTTGCCCTCCTGTTGTATAACTGTGAATGCATTTAACTAGATTGTTAGTGATGTAGGTTCCTGACTGCACTCCTGATTATATCCTTGGTGACTAACACTTTTTGTGATCATGCTGTTTCCGACCCCCACCTGCGAGTTCCCCCTCCCTACACTACCTTAGGACATTATAAATTGTATTTGTTTTGTAAAAAGAATTACTATGTGCTCTCGTGATCATAGCATTGTAAATTGACTAAGCCACCTTAATCTCGTGATTTCTCCTAACTGCTGTTTTCCACCTCTGTAACTATGCCTGTTTACCCCTGAAAAAGTTTTGCCTTATAAAAGTCAGAGCCTCAGTCAACCGGGGCTGCACTCAGAGACCCCATGTTGGGACACTGAGGCAGCTGTGGCTCTTCAATAAAGGACTTTTCTTTAATTCGACTTGTCTTTGAGAGACTCCTGAGCATAACAAAATATATTTTAAACATATAGCTGTTGGCATTCAGCACCTTCACGGTGTTGGGCAATCATCACCACAATTTCCACTTTTCCGTCAACCCAAACAGAAACTCTATAACCACTGAGAAATAACTCCTTACACTCCACTTCCCCCAGCCCTGGTAACCTCCTAGCCATTTTGTCTCTATGAACGTGCGTATTCTATTTCATACTAACTGAATCCTAAAAGATGTATCCTTTTGTATCCGTCTTATTTCACTTAGCAGCACGTTTTCATCCAGGTTTGTAGCGTGCGTCAGTATCAGAACTTCATTTTTATGACTGAGAAATGTTCTGTTGTATGAACAGAGCCCATATTGTTTATCCCCTCATCCGCTCATGGACATCGTTTCCACCTTCTAGCTATTGTGAATAATGCTGCTATGAACGTCTGAGCCTCTCTTTTCAGTTCTCTGGGGAATACACCTATACTGGAAGTGTTGGGTCGTATAATAATCTATGTTCATATTTATTTATTTATTTATTTTATTTTTTTGAGGCAGTCTCAGTCCCCCTGGGTAGTGAGCCGTGACATCACAGCTCACAGTAACCTCAAACTCTTGGGCTCCAGTGATTCTCCTGCTTCAACCTCCCCAGGAGCGGGGACTACAGGCCCCCGCCACAACGCCCGGCTAGTTTTTCCATTTTCATTAGAGACCGAGCCTCGAACTCCTGAGCTCAAGATATCCTCCCACCTCGGCCTCCCAGAGTGCCAGGAGCCACCGCGCCCAGCCTTCCCTCTCGTCTTCTGGCGTAATAAGCTTGCCAGCGGCTGTCCCAACACGCAAAGTAGGCTCAGCCCGCTCCCCTAAGCTTTCTCCTCCCTTCTCAGCTCTGCGGCTCCCCTGGGAAGGGAGCTCAGCAGGGGCGGTCACTGCACCTGCTCCCTTGGGCGGGTGGCGGGAGCAAAGGAACAAGGCGCCCACGGCTCCAGGCACCCAGTGGCTTTCAAGAGATGGGGGGGGCTGTCCCTTCGACTTCCCTTGCTCTGGGGTCCTCTCTTTTCAGTCCAGGTAGTCGCCTCCGTTATTCGTATCTCCGCCTGCGTCCCCTTTAAGGCCGCCTTGGAGGACTACAGTTCAAAACTCTCGAGGGCGGCCCTCTAGCCGCTGTCTCTATGGTAAGCCCGCAATTCCGGCCGGAAGCTCGTGAGCGGAAGTGCTTGCCTGCGGGAGGTCGGCGGGGAGTTGAGACGCGCGCAGTGTCGGATCCGAGCGGAAACCCGCCCGCTCACGCCTCCTGCTGGTCACAGGCCGCGGGCCCACTGAGGTACGCTGGGCGTCCGCAGCTTCTGCAGCCTGCAGAGGGGGCCAAGCCGCAGGACCACACCGGAGCTCAGTTGGGGACGGTGGTGGGAGCGGGAGGTACCTACCCCAGACTAGAAATCCTCCTCGCGGGGTCCCTGCGCGGGCTAGCAACTCCAGGGCACCCCTTTCCTTGCGTGGGAGCCGGGGCTTGGACGGGAGAACGTAAAGGAAACTCGGTCCGTACGCGGCCTTCGAAATTGTAGTGCGAGGTTGTATGGAGGCGCTGTAGGCCGCAGAAGGCTGCGTGAGCTCGGGTTTCTGCAGGGGTGGAGTAGGGAGAAGGTGGTAGGCCCCGAATGACTTATCTTTTTATTCCTTCCCCTTGGGTTTCCACAGATATAAGTATCCAGCCCCCACCCTTGGCTGAAGCTATGTGAGAATTATATGATGAGAGCATTTGGAGTGAGTGACCTCAGTTTGGGGAATCCAGGTATGTCAAGCGTGGAACCAAAGTGTGCTAAGGCAGATGGTCTGGGGAAAGGCGCCTGTGTTGTTGAACCTGCCCAGTTGTGGGTGCAACTTTGTACCAGGTAGCCCAACTCTGACCTAAAGAAAATTCCCGGAAGTTTTTCCTGGGATTTGAATTTGCAGTAACAGGTGTGAGCATTCTAGCAGCAGTTTGATGATCATGTATGATACTGCAAACAGGACCTACGCTGAAAGAAGAAAAGTTAACATCACAGAGCAGACGCTTTTAAAAGTTTATAAGCAGTGTTGGTGTTACGTGTTTTGTTCAGTAAATGTTTATTGGTGCTTTGGCCAGACACCATGCTAAAAGTTAGGGATACAGAAATAAGCACAATAGTTATGGCTCTTGTTTTCAGGGAGCCACAGCCTTGGGAGGGAGACAGAGGTTAAATGATCACATTGAAAAGGGT